CTTAGATCCAAACATTTAGAAGACATGTTGGGCTATATATCTATGAAAAAAATCGGTATATCATTACGTGAGGTTCCAGAGATATGAAGAGGTTTTCCAAAGATCCGCTGAAAAACCTATCTTCGAACTTTTTTCGACCTCGATTTTCGGCTGTGAAAAGATTGGGAAAATAGTCCTCTTTCCATTAGTGAAAACCGCAACTCTCTATCTATCATCATCTTCGAGTTATTAAAGAAACGGCAACCTGCATTATATTTTGGTAGGGATACTAGTGATATCAGTTGCATAAAAGGAAACACATTATTGGCTAAAGGTGCTCTACCCATTAATTCAAACAGATCAGGTACGTGTAGTTTTGCCAAAGACTTCTGTAAAATAATCTGACTGTTTTTCTGCACACAGATGGTTCTGGTAGAGCATCACGTTCATATTCAGAAACGGCACTTGGAAGGAACACATAGTCGAGCAGTCGATCTCGTGCATTTTCAGCCAATAAAGTCAACAATTCTTGCTAGTTTTTATGAAGTTACGACAGAAGTTTCCATTCATGGATCTTGCTAAGACATTTCAAATTGGTAAAACTACAGTGTCAAGATACAGTAGTTCTATACTTTGAATGTATTCGATACTATCAATGCTATTGCTGTTTTATAAATGTTTCAGGTTGCTTGATCGATAGGTCAACTTTTGTACCGCGGATTTGCAAAAATGCCAATGTTTCTAACATGGAGGTGTTTGTGTTGATAAGTAAAAAGATGGAAGATATTCGTGTTAAACGAAAGATCTCATCGCCAAACTAACAAGGTTAAAATATTTGCGGCGCTTGGCTTGCCTAGAGGGAGATATGTGAGTTTTAAGGGATTTACAGCGTATTTAATGTGCCTATAAGTCAAAATCTTAGAAGAAGTGTTTTTTTCTTTTTTTGTGATGAATAGAGTCCCTTCAACATCCTACGATAAATTGAATTTTAATCTGAAATTCGGAATCAGCTTTGAATTTCGCGTCTAATGATGCTACCTTCATTAAAATTTGAGAAAAAAGTGTTTTCGACAGTCCTAAGGTGTCTCCCAGACCGTGAAAAATGAAATTCATTTTTCGACAGCAAAAGGTAAATCATTTTACTCAGAATTTTACGCTGGTCCCGAATACATAGTTCTTTTTAAAAATATTTTGGACAAAAATAATGCTCTTATCGATACTTGTCCATTAAGAAAAGAATTATTTATCATAAAATTATTTATTTATTTTAAAAACGTTCATTCATCATAAAACTAGTACTTCGTTATTGATGTTAATGTGGCAAATTTGAAGAATACGTATTCAGGCGAAAATCATAATAATTCTATGAGCTCGGATATATTTCATTGAATAGCTTAGAGCTGTTTTGGCGATACATTAAATTTTGATTTTGATCTAATTGAACAAGACCAGGTTGAGGTTCACGTCCATTATGATATTGTGCGTCACCTAAAAAAATTAATAGTTTAGTTGTTTTTAAATTTTCATTTAAGAAAATCTGGATTAAACATTTGAAATTTCTCAAGAGAATATTTAAAAAAAATGACTTACCCGTAGCGTTCACCAATCCAACGGCAAACAGAGGATGATATTTTCCTGATTGTGAAAGTGGTCTTAATGTGTTGAGTTGTTTCACTCTTTGAGGAGCAAAATCGGACAAAATAAACTGACAAGTAACAACACCATTCTAACTTGTACTTCTTCCTCCCTATTCTGTCTCTAACAGATATCCTTTGAGGCAAGCTCAATCAAATCACGACTCGCGCTGTTCGGTTGGGTGGAACCGAATAGCGCCAACGCGAGCGAATTCCACCTAACGCCGTGATTTTAGTTCAATTTCTTCCGATTGTTGGAGTAATCCGTATTTAAGCTTACGTCGACGTGGTGCCACAACATTTTCTAATACCCAGTCATTCTCCGATACAGCCTCTTAGGACTGTCGCATCTTAGGGTGTGAACTTTTGTTATCTTGCTTACCGGCAACTGACGTATTATTCGCCGTTAACAAACCTGTCGAAATATAAAAATATACTTATAGACGCTAGAACAGTTTCCTCTATATGTAAAAGCCGCTGCATTACATTTGAAGAATAATTTCTCACCTAAGGAAACGATATGTGCGGCAATATATACACCATTCTTTGCTGTATCGATCCATGCACCAACATCTTCCACAATAAAATCATCTTGTTCTTGTTCCCTGGCAGTTTCAAATGTTCTTGATATTTTAGCTTCATAACATTGACCTTGTAGTGATTCAAGCTGTTTTATTAGTGGTAAATCGTTAACTTTTCTCTCGCCACTCGCTAATTTTGCTATTTCTGTTCTCATTGAATCATCGCGAAGCACATCAATTAATTTTGTATTGATCAATTTGTATTATCAACCACCTACACAAGAACCGTTCCAATCAACTACACAAGAACCAACTACAGAAGAATCAAGCGCATAGAAATAGAAAGAAAAGAAACCAGGCCTGTTCAAGATTGATACTCATCGGAAGATTGGCAAAGATGGATAATTAGCAATAACTGAATCTTTCATTGTTCTGCTTGCTATTATACCATTTACTTGTTTTTTGCTTACTTCATGTTTCCTTTCAATGAATTTTTCATGTAACAATTCAACTAAGTGTTTTATAATCTAATCTTAGCTGTTTATCTTGCTTCTTTTCGACTTGTCTACTTTTCTCAAACCTCCAACATACGCTCATACATCCTTTCTGATAAGATTCCCTTTATTTGCATCGGAAGATTCTGTATTTACTTCTCTACTAAACTATTCGCGAAATGCTACGAAATTGTGGCAGATGTATTTTAAACAAAATGAAAAATTGAAATGCAAGATTTTCATCAAATCACGTGATTAAAACTAGGTCGCAAAATACATTTTTATTTTAAAATCTTTGTACAGAATATTTAATACAAGGAGAAATACCTGCTTTTTCGTTCCTTTTCTGCAGAAAAACAGAATGTGACACAAATGCCAATCTGTGGTTGACCGCTAAAGGCCTATTCTTCATTTAATACGACTAAAGCAAGACGATTTACATCTCTCTGTTCCCATACTGACTGAACTGCTGCGTACTTAATATGAAGAAGTCAAGTAGCTCTAGTTGATAATATTTTTAGATAAAAAAGCAAATAAAAATACTTAAAAGATGACGGGAAGAATGCCGTTGTCGTAACGTACTTTTGAGCTGATCGGATAAAATCTTAATCTGGAAAATAAATAAAAATAAAATAAAGATCAACAAACGATTTTAAGTGTGCGAGAGAATAAATAAATATCTATCATAGCATTGGGCAACGCACGCTGACGGATAATTAAATAATAAAATTTTGATAATTAGCGTTTCTCGCCATGAAGCAAGCATCTGACAGATTTGGTTCCGCTACGAAAAATGTCAGAAATTAAATTTCACATAGGGACTTCTGGTTTTTTCAAAATTTGATCCAATGAGGTTGCTAGGTTCGTTTCTTTTAGGGTGATGTGTGTTTGTTTTCTTTCTTTGCATGTGTTTGTGATTGGGTGGGTACTAGATTGTTTGTTTTGCTGGTCGGTTGGTTTTTGTTATTTGTTATGTGCGGGTGAAGGCGACACCTGGCATGTGGTATTGTTTGTTTTGCCTGGTTTGTTCGATGATTTCTTTTGTCCTGTTGTTATGTCGGGGAGTTTTGGTAAGGTTGTAGTTATTTGGTTCCAGTTATTTTCTGGGTGTCGTTGATTGGAATGATTTGTTTCAAATCCGATTGGCGATCTGTAGCTGTTCTAAGTGGCTCGTATTGTGCGTTTTGAGAGCAATGCCGGAGTTAGCTTTTTATACTTCCTTGTGGAGAACCAGAGAAAAGTAGTTTTGCACTTTCATAGGTAGAAATACAAAAAATTTCGTCATTTTGTACTATGTTCAAAATTCAATACTTTTTCACACGAAAATGACTTCCAAACATATAGAAATCTGCTTTAACTATATAACTCGATTAGCTTTATCCAACCAGACCCAAGAGAACGAAAAATCATTTTGTGGAAGTCGAGCACCCTACATGTTAGATACTTCTTCCTCCCTACCAATAGTCACCGGGTGCCAGTCCTGGGACTCGTCGAAAATTCGATACAACGCCCGAACCGCAGAAAATCGAGGTCTTACTTTCAGTATTCCTTGCATCTGAACTGTCAGTATTAGCATTTGTATTATTGTCCTGTTGTGGCTGTTTTTGTCGTTTTGATGTTGATATTAATGAATCACCCCTTTTTCTTTTACCGTTATTGACATTCGGTATATTTTGATCCGTTATTTTTTCTGATTCTATTCCGAAAGATAAATGCATTTGTATTGCCTGATTGGTCAGAACTCCAATGAGTTCTTGATGTAGTTCCAAATTCGAAACATGTACCACTACTGGTTCTTTCTTATCATACACCATCACTGCCCCGTTAGTCATCAACAAAGCAGCTCCCTTCTGAAGCGCAATATCAGCCACCAAGGGCAACCAATCACGGCTTTGAGTATCGAAAAATTTTACAATTAATTCATCCATTAAAACATTTTTCAAGCAAATTAATTCACTTTTCCTCCAGGAAAGTTGTAAGATTAGCTTTGGATCGAGTTTCATTATTGAGGTCGACGAACTTAAAATATTATCTATAGCGTCTGGAACTTGACAAGCCAAGGTCCCATCTTTACAACGCATACCCATGAGGTTCGTGATCACTTCATTTGTCGCTGCTTTTTTACCCATCTTTCCGATAGCATAAAGTGCACTCTCGCTGACGTTGTCATTCTCATCTCCTAGTGCACTCACTAGCTTAACGATCATTTCATCCCTCGCTGCTGTTCCACCTATTTTCCCTAGGGCTTCATATGCATTCTCTCTGACATCTTCCTTCTCATCTTCTAGTGCGCTCATTAGCTTAGTGATCACTTCATTCGTCGCTGC